TTTTTTTTTTTTTTTTTTTTTCTTTTTTTTTATGGTCGTCCTCCTCCTCGTCGGCTGTGGTGGATGAGACCAGCCATGCCCAGAACCTTGTTCCAGAGGTTCCATGCAAACATGGTTGGGCCGTTGCCATGCTGCGGCTGGCATGCCTCTGTCGCCGTTCAAGTCGCCGGTCGCCTTTGCTCGCTATCGACCTTATGCCCGTCACGGTCGTCCCCCTGCAGCCCAGTCCTTCTCGACTGACCCGCGCAAGCAGCCAAGCTAGACCACCTCGCCCCGTGAGACAAGCTCGGCGGGATGCATGAATTTGTTAGGCCGCCACCTGCATGATGTAGATCTGATCGGGATGGTCATCGGGATGGTCTCGACCGATCCAAGGCGTCAAATCAGGGTCCGGCGGCGGCGCTTCAGAGTTGGTCTGCGACGTGGCCTGCTTCCGAAAGCACACGCCCTGCTCACACCACCAACCCTCCGCTGTCCGTCTGGCCTTGGATCGCCCATCTGACCATGCACAGCACGCTCTCGCGCCTCAACGCCGTGTCGGCGCTCGCCACCACCATCGTGCTCGTGCTCGTCGTGCTCATCGACCTCGCGTCCCACTCGCGCCACACCCCCTCGGGCAAGCTCCACATCAACCAGCTCGAGGTGGTGCGCGCCAAAGCCGCCTGGCACATGGACCGCAACATCCAGGACTTTGTGCAGACCTCCTTCACCATCGACGCCGACTTTTCACCCCTCTTCGACTGGAATACAAAGCAGATCTTTGTCTCCATCGCCGCCAACTACACCTCTTCCAAACACGTAAGTCCGAAACAACCCCCAACCACTCCTCCTGGTCGAGACTCACTCGACTCATCACCACCATCTTACCTTCTTTTCTTTGCACGGGTAGAGTTCCAACGAGGTAGTCATCTGGGACCGCATCCTGCGCTCCAAGAACGATGCACACATCGCGCTCAACTCGGCCACCAACAAGTACGGCCTGCGCGAAGTCGGTCGCTCCTTCGCCGCCATCGAAAACGCCACCTTCACGCTCAAGTACAACGTCATGCCCAAGGTAGGCCGCCTCATCTACGGCAACGAATACGCCTCGGCACAGATCCCCATCCCCAAACGTCAGCTCCTGCCCAACGGCGACCAGCCCAAAGTTCAAAGATTGTACTACTAGTCGAAACCTCGAATACAATTCAATTTCAAGACCGACGTTCCACACGCAAAACGACCGTGATCAATGCTGACCTTGACAACCGAGTACAATTGCTCTCCTTCGTGACCGGGAAGATTGTCGGGCTTCACGACTGTGAGAAGTACGAAAAAACGCTGCGGCGCGTCTTGGCAGGGGCAGCAGGTGTAGCTGACGAGCCGCGTGCGGTGCCGCCGGCGCGCTTGGTCTTGTCACCGGCAGCCTTGGAGCGCGCGCCTGCCCGCGTGCGTCGAACCTTCGCTCCGCTCTCCTCCTCGGACGACGACGACGACGACGACGAGTCGGAAATATCGCTCTCGTACTCGGAGCCCGCGACGTCTTTGCCCTCTTCGATCGCGTCGCCGGGCGCCACACCGCTGAGCGGCGTCGAGGTGCCCGTGCTGTGCGGCGATCCGGGCTGCGACGAGTTCTGGCGCAGCATCCCCGGCTTGAGCTCCGACAGTCGCACAAACGGCGCCGCCTTCTGAGCCGTGCTCGGCGCACTATTGGGCTGGCTCGCCCCCGTCGACAGCGGCGTCAGCCCGCGCATGAACGGATTCACCCGCTGGCTCGCGCGTGTCCCTACAGCCTGCCTCGCGCCACCCGGTGCCTTGGCCGCCTCCTCTGCCTCCGCCTCACTCTCGGTCTCGGTCTCGGTCTCGGACGACGAGTCGGCATCCGAAGCCGCAGACTCCTCCGACGACGACGATGACGCCGAGGAGGAGGAGGAGGAGGAGGAGGAG